CCCCCCCCCCCAACCCCAGTTGGAAGACCGGCAAGCAGGGGCACAGTGGGGTGTCCACAGCCTCCCAGGAGCCCACCCTCCAGCCCTGGGCCTAATGGCTTAGATCCTATCTTCATTGGGGAGAAGGGAGTGAGGAAGGCAGGGGAAGCGGAAGGGAAGGTGGGAGGGAAGACCCAGAAAGGGGAGGGGTCTCTGGCCCGGGAGGGGGAGACAAAATGAGGCCTGCACCTGAGCCAGGAGATGAACTTCCTTCCTGATGGCTGGGGCCCGGGGCACCCGCTCACCTGTACTGGGGCGGGGAGAGGCGAGGGGGGCTGGTGCTGCCGTTACTGGGCAGCAGCTCCACTGGGGCGCCCACGTCCTCCTGGCTGAGGGGCAGGAGGCTGCTGGTGGAGCCAGGGTTCAGCATGCCAGGGCTGTTAAGGAGGGGGAAGCTGCTCTCGGCCAGGGCAGCCTGGAGGGGCACAGGGTTGGCGGTCAGCAGGCACCAAGGCGAGGGACAAACCTGTCTAGTTCACATCCCCTCCCCACCCACCTTGGGAACCTGTGTGTCTGTCTGCTAGTCCCCCTGGCAGACCTATCTTGGAACCAACCCCTCCCCGACCCCACCCCCACTTCAGTTTCTCAAGCCTCAGCCTTTCAAACAGAGCACAAACCCCACATAGCATCCCCAAGTCCACGAGTCTGACCCTGGTCTGCTGCCTCCGGGTGCCTGGGGCACCGGGCGCTGGCTTACCCCCTCTCTCCCAGGGGATAGAGGAGCCCCCAAATGACAAGCCATGGAACCATGGAAGTTTAGGCCAGGTTCACTGCTCCCCACCTCATCCTGACAGAGTGAGGGGCCTTGGGGCAGTGTGGAGGCAGAGGAGTGGGCAGAGGACTGGTGTTTGCACCCCACAGGGAGGCGAGGGCTGGCGGGGTGGAAGCGGGAGGCAGAGGGGTGGCGGGCACCCACTGTCACCTGGTAGCTGGCATTAAGTGCTCCGTAACTGAGTCCCGAGATCATGTTCTTCACCAGGGTGGGGCTGCTGGAGGAGAGAGGACAGGTGCTGGCTCCCGGAGCCCCACCCAGTGTCCTTATGTCTCCCGGGGATCCCTGAGGTCCGAGGAGGCCCGGCACCATCAGCGGGGTCCTGAGAGCTGCAGCCATGCATGCTTGTTCACCTGCCCCTCCCAGATGCTGAGGCTCCTGGAGATCACCGTCCCCAGCTTGAGTGGGCACACAAGACCCCTTCCCCAGAGCTGTCTTCTCGCTGCATGACCCTGGCCCTTGTTCTCTGTTCAGCAAGGCCTGGCTCATCTCAGCTTTCGTGGCCCATGACGTGTAACTCCCGGCTCTCACCTGTTCCCTCTGTGCTCAGCCTGGGCAGACTCTGCACACGGAGGGCTTGAGTCAGGAGAAGCACTGGCCTAATGCATTTCTCCTTCCCCCACCCCGACAGAATCTGGGAGACTCCGGCAGTATAGTAGCTTAACTATTGGGCTGCTGGCTGAGAGGCTGGTGGTTCAAACCCACCAGCCGCTCCAAGGGAGCAAGAGGAGGTTGTCTGCTTCACAGGCTCAGCAACCAGGAGAAGCAGCAGGTGCAACTGGAACCCCAGTGTCCTGATCCCAGGTGGGCAGTCCCTGGGCGATGCAAGCTGTCAATGGATCCACTGCTAACCGAGGGGCTGGAGGCCTGAGTCCACTCAGGTGCCTCGGAAGAAGGGCCTAGCGGCCTGCTTCTGAACAAGCAGCCCCTGAGAGCCGCAGGTCATACGGGTCTACTCTGATACACCACACATGGGGTCGCGGTGCTTTAGCAGCGAGGACATGAAGTTAGATGCGGTGAGCATGCCCGGGGCACTTGGTACACACGGCCGCACTCCCCTCTTTGTTCCAGCAGAACCCAGCCCCAGCACCCACAAGGCCGAGAGGCACCAGGGACACCTTCACCTCACAGGCTCTAGCCCTTTCTCTCCCCCAAGCACAGGCAGTAGCGTGGCCGGGCGGGGAGGGGAGGTTTGGACCCTCTCTGTTGAAAATGCCGTGATGCTGGACAAAAAGCACAGGACTAGGAGGTCAGGGCCCAGTGTGGCTACCAGCCTCTTGCCTTCTCTGGGCCTCCTTCCTGTCTGAACTGAGGGCATGTGGGTCCTGGTGACAGTAGCATCCCCACCAGTGGCCCCACTGGCCACTCGCCCATGTTCCAGGTTTGACATCGCTACTCTGTGTCTCCCCCCTCTGGTTCCCGGACCCCTTGGCCTTCTCCCTCAGTCAGGAGTGAGGAGCAGACAAGAAGACCGTCACCCCCCACCCCCTTCCAGCACCCCATCCTCCCAAGCTGGAAAAGACGCAGGACCTGAGACTTGGGGGCAGCCCCCGTACCCGGTCATCTTCGGCGGTCTCCGCTTCTGGTACTCTCGCTCGTCCACGGTCCACACGGCACCCTTGACGTTCTCCACTCGGACGAAGCACTTGTGGAGGCTGAGGTTGTGACGCACAGCATTCTGGGATTGAAGGGGAGGGGAGCAAAAGGGGGAGGCAGATGCTCAGATGGGGGTTTCTCTGCCCCAGTGGACATATGTGGGGAGCTGGGGGTTAAGCCCAGGCCAGAGCAGGTCATGGAAGGGCCAGGCTGATGGGAGGCCAGCCAGGGGGCAGGCTCCCTAGCCTATACCCCCGCCCCCCCATCCTTCAGCCCGCTGGTCTCCTTGCCACAAGGTGGAAAACTGTCCCCCGATTGTGTTTTCCAGTCCCGATGAGTCCGGGTGGCCCGAGGCTGCTCATTGGGGCTTCTGGCCAGCAGGAGAGATGGCCGGGACACCTGACTGCAGACAGGCGCACATGGCTCCCACGAAGCTCTTAAACATGCGGAAGGACCCACCAGTGAGTCCTCCATGGCCCTGGCAGGCTCCGAGAAGTGTGGGAGCTGGGTGTTGGGTGTGCCAGGCCGAGTAGGCCCGGTACGTACAAACATACGGCAGTGCTTCGAAACCGCCGGGGAAAACCCCATTCTCTTTTCATTCCACTGTCAGTGCACTTTTCAAAGCACCCCCCCTCAAACTTATTGCAACACACAGAGGAGCAAAAGGGAGAGAGGGGTCACCTGCGCTGGGAGACAGGAACGATGCCTTGGCATGCCAGCCTCCACCTGGCAGGAGAACCCGAGGAATTGGGTCATCTGGTTTATAGGACATGTGGGGAGCCGGGGGAACGGCTTCCCACCATGGGAGCATGGGCTAGGGCTTTCTCTGCCTTAGTCCCATCCCAGCACTGCCCCCTCCCCAGCCCTGTCTGCCTGTCCCTGTGACCTGTCCTTCCTCAGCTACCCCCCCACCCCCAATCCCCATCTCTTCACATTTCTAACCGGAGAAGAAAGTGGGCAGGCGGGGCAGCCAGGGCCCCTGGAGAACACCGCTCCCGCTCCCATTCCAACTCTTGCCACTGGCCCGATTTCATTACCAATTTTAATTTGCCTCTAATTAAATCCTGTGTATTTTTCTGACTCACTCGCTAATCCACGAGGGAGGCGGGCGGCTGGAGTGGAATCTCTTGGAGCGATAATTACAAAGGGCCTAATCACGCCGGGGCTCCTGCCTCGGAATAAATTTGCCCGCATTACGGGGCTCCGATCCTCCCGCGCTGCAAATGAGAATGACCCCAATTTCCGAGGATGGCCTCGCTGGGGCTTTTCCCTCGTTTCGCAGCCTGATTCGTGATGAGAGACTAATTCGTTACGCTCGAACATTAGCGGCAATTTAAGGGGTCTGGCGGGGGGCTGCGTAAACAAAAGGACGGGCCCACAACACAGGCCTGGAGAGGGGACAGAAACCGGAGGGCCATCTGATCGGCAGATGCCAGCTCTGTCCCCCACGGATGGACGGATGGCAGCTGGCCCGTACCCACGCCCAGCCCCCCCTGCCCTAAGGTGGGCAGCATACGGGAGAGGAAGAGGCGGGACCTCTCAAGGGGTGGGTGGGGGTGGGCAGGGTACCTCCGGACTTGGCTGTCTACACCTGAAGGTCCAAAGGGACCCGAGCTGAGATGGAGCCTGCCTCTGTATCACAGGGCAAGCACAGGCAGTGGCCGCGAACGCGGGCGAGGAAAGGAGCAGGTGGGGTCGCCCACTCGGTCAACCGCTCCCCCACCTCTCTGCCTGACCCCGGCCAGCCCGGCCTCTTGTCCAGGCCTAGACTGGGGAAGGAGTTGGAGGTGATGAGTTTGGGGGAGGAGAACCTAGTAGTCACTGGGCAACCAGCCGCCGCCCCTGGGGTGAGGGATGTGGTATGGAGAGTAGTGTGCAGAACTGAGCTAGCCCCTAGGGGCAGGGGTGGGGGGGGGGGTGGGCTGGAGGAAGACACACAGGCCCGGGGGTGGCCGGGTAGGGGCCTGGGTGAGTGGGGCTCTACCCTTAGGGAAGAAGTTAAGGGAACAGGCCCGCCTGAATATGTCCTATTAACAAATAGCCTTGGCACTCAGACGGGATCTGGAACTCGATGTGCTTGAAGCGGTATGAAATCGTCCTTTACAAAGATCCTTATCTCTGACCTAGGGCACAGTCCTGCCTACAGCCTGGTTTCCACACCGGCTGGGGCCTGGACCCGGTGACTTCCACTAGGCCAGTCGCTGCAGAGAGAGAGGGCAGGACTGTGGTTGGCAGGAAATGACATCACTCGCAACCAATCAGAGCCTCAGTCCCAGCCTCTCCCCCAGGGGATGCGGCACGAGGCACGAGGCAGTCCCTGGTGCTGGAACCCAGTACCCTGCCCTCCCGCACAGAGAAAGCTGGGCCTGCGCACCGCGCACCCAGCCTTGGGCGCTGGCCGAGAGGGGGGCTCCATAGCGACCACTTGTTGAAAGCAGGTGGGAGAAGGCCGATGGCCTGTAGTTTCCAGGGCGGCCAGCAGAGGGACCCATGAGCCAAGCATCCAGAGAAGGTTGGTCCAGGGGGTCTCCTGCCTCCATCCCCTGCCGCACAGAACCTAATGAGTTCACCAGCAGAGGCACACAAACGATCACCGTAGTTACAGAAAAACAAATGTGCCCTGGTCCCATCTCTGTGTCCCATTTTTCTGAGCCTCCCCCCTTCCCTGCCTGGGGTCCCTCAGGAAAGCTCTTGTGGCTGACGGTGTTGAAATGACTAATTGGATCGAGACAATGATCTTACCGCCACTGTCAGCAGTGGGGGTGAGTGTGTGAGTGCCTGTGCCCTCGTGTCCTGATGGTGGCCCCGCCACACGCCCTGGCTGGCACCCCCCTACCCCAATCCCCAGTGTCCCTGTGAATTCAGCTCAGGCCTGCCATTCAGGTGTGACGGATGCCAATTCCTAAAGACTCTACCTTGTGGTGGAGGCAGGGGCACCCCAGCTAAGTGAAGGGCTTCTGCCTAGGGAGAAGACAACGCCCAGAAATAGAACGCGCAGGGAAAGGCTGGTTCAGGAACATTCCATGACCGGCTGAGGCTGGCCTAGGGGCACATGGGCTGTGAAACTACCTCTCCCAGCAGGGGGGAGCTGCTGGGCAGCCTTGGTGCCCAGAGCATGTGGATGCCCAAGGGCAGGGCAGGGCAGGGCAGGAGATCTCACCTTCCAGGTGGCCGTGTTTCTCCGGAAGTAGGCGAACATCCTGGTGAACCAGTTATAGATCTCGTTCAGGGTCAGCTGCCTATCAGGGGTTTCCAGGATGGCCTGCAGGCAAAAGGAGGAGGCAAGGGGACCCTCAGTCCCAGCTTGAAGGGTCATGGTCCCGGGGCCCTCTCCCCCTGGGATCTCTCTTCTGCCTAGACCCTCCACTTAACCTTTGTCAGGAGCAAAGATCTGCTGCCGAAATGTGCAGTTGAGCACAGCTCGGCCAGGGGGCTGACGGGGCGGATGGCCCAGCCACCGGCTACAGGGGCACAGGCCTTTTTATTGGAGGGAAAACAACTTCAGATCACGGGGCTCCCCAGCCTGGAAAGGGGAGGAGAGCAGAAATTCTGGGTGAGTGGGGTCCTTAGTATGGGGGGGTGCTATTTGAAGTGTATCTGGATTTTGGCAAAGGGCAACACTTTAGCATCAGGCGGGGTGTGTGCATGTCAGATTGTGTGATGGGGTGTGTGTGTGTGAGGGGGGGTATCAGAAAGATGAGACTGTGCAACTGTGTGTGTGCTATTACGAGAGAGCACTACAGGTGTGGGAGGCAGCAGAGGGGGCTGAGTGTGTGTGTGTGTGTGTGTGTGAGAGAGTGTGTGTGTGTGAGAGAGAGAGAGAGAGAGAGAAGCAGTGTGCCCAAGTCCACGAGAAGGAAGCATCCATCATGGGC